TCATAAATAATATTAAAGGGGATTTTCATCACTGTTCTTGTAATTTGGTCAACAGTTATAATGTTTGATAAGTTCAGGGGGAAAAAAAGAAAAACAGTAATCTGTAGAACATATTGTCAACTGGGTGTGATATAAAACCACAGGTTGCAAAACCACTTCCTGCTCATGAACACAACCACTTGTACGCTGCACTGTATGATATTGTGACACAAGAACTACAGTATTTTGGCAAGATAATCTCAAGCAAGATGAGAATCCACTGAGGCACTTTCATTCATTTGCCTGCCCTGCATTAACGTGAACGTTAGTGGTTTGTGATATTTTGCCTGGCAACAGTTTAACTTTTACTTTAGTGCTTCCACGTTCAGGACTGCAAAATATAGGAATTTATGAATGTAGCTGGAAATAATATGAATGTTAAAAAAGCCAAACAAACAAGAAGAAAATACCAAGGCTGGGAACGAAATGCAATTCTGAGAATGACATGTCATTCTTCACAAACTGTCAGCTCAATACCATGAAGCCCTCCACCCACAGTGATATCATTTGTGTGCAAAACCAATATGCTTCTCTTTTGAGATCATTTATTTCCTGTGCTGCGGCTTGAACCTTTAATTCTGCTTTCAGTAGCCCTGAACTTCTCCATTTTGAGTGTTGGAGAAATATTTTTGACATATTGTTTTTAAAAAACGTTCCTTTGCCTCTCAGAGGTTACTTAGCTTCACATAAAACACGCGCTTGTTGTTTGAAGCAGATATCGATCGGAGTCACATTATTGTGACAGATTAACTGCGGCACTTTAAAAGCCAGCGAGAACTCCTGTGACACTTTGTGACGTTTTGGGTCTAACAGTCGCTTCTGTCACAGATGAATGTCATGAACATGAATTTACTTTTGCAAAAATCTTCAAAGTGTCTTTATAAAAAACTTCAGAAGAACTAAAATCATCCCTAAAATGATGTGTTTAACTCGTTTCTATACGTTCATAAAGCAACACATGTAAACAGCATCTACTTTTGAGTACAAAATCAAGATCGTTCTTACCCATTTCCAGATGTTGCCTTCTAGTCTCCGGCTTAACTGTGACAGTAATTCATGCAGCACTCACGTCAACTTGACACCACAAAATAGGAAGGTGTCTCCACAGGACAGTTTCATTGGTTGACTGATGTAACACCGCAAATGAGTCTGGGAAACTGAGTCCTTTTTTTCTTCTTCCATCAGCTGTGTTTGAATAGTCAGCTTAAAACTTTAATAAAATCTGCATTTGGGTATCTTACAGTCTGACAGCTGTAGCTCACAGTGTGCTGTTTCTCATCTGTTTTTTTCCTGAGGACATGCTATTGTCTATACTTGTGGTGTCATCAGCACATGAAACACATATTTCTGATTTTGTAGAGATTACTACAAGTGATTCTATTGAAGATTTCTTATACAGCTTTCATTTTAAACAAACATACCGACTCACAAATACCTCCAGTCACATGTAAGTTCAAATATAGTTTAAATGGGGGCGTAACATTTCCTGAACATGTACACTAATGACTATTCTCAGGTAAACATAGGAAGCTATCACTTATTAACATCAGTGCTTAAGTAGGTAAAAAATATTTCTTTAAAGCAGACGGTGTCAAACATAGGGCCCCGGGACCAGATTCGGCCTGCCGAACACTCCAATCTGGCCCAATGGAAAATGTGAGGGAGGGCATAGATTTTGAAGTAGCTGTAAGTTCCTGCTGATAAGGGCCTCCCCCATGACCACTCATAGTGCACTAAAATAACTAGATAAACATTTAAATGACTAACAAGTTCCTGTTTTTTCATTCCATACCATAGAAATATCTATTTTTTTAGAACAAAGATACAAAAATACATTTTCTGTGAATAAAAAACCTTACAAACTTTCTTTTATAATTACTGATCATTCTGGACAATGTGCTACCAGAACCTTTCCCGTAATTTTACACTTTTATTTCTTACTATTTAAGCCCAAAGAGTCATGCTAAAAGGTTTCCTGCATTCCCTGCAGCAGCATTTCATTGCACTTCTTATTTCATTCAGTGTGTAGCTAAATTAGACTGTTAGAAAAGCCAGTTTCAATGGTCTGGCCTGCTTAAGATTAAAGTGGGCTGTACGTGGCCAACAATGTAAACTGAATCACAGAGGAATGCTTGTTTACTTCATGAGCAAGGGAAGATATGGGGACTATTTTTCACATAGAGGTCTTATACTCTGACCACATGATGTGCGTTCTGACTCGTAAGATTTGAAGGTTTCTATAATAAAGCTAATAGGATCTTTATGCATATATATACATATATCTATAAAGACTTTTATATGTAAGCTATTGCATCTTTTGCTCGTTGCGTACTGTCCCTTAAAAAAGGTCACACCTGGCACATTTACTTCAATCAAGCTGCTGAACCACAGACTGTGTATCTTTGTGTGTAATCAATGCTTGCCCTATATATAACGGTGAGGCTAGGCTAACTGTGCAGTCAAGTTTCTTATTATTTTAAAAGGTCAGCTTTATCTGCTTGTTGCATGTACTGAATACAGGTTTTCAAATTTGCCAGCCTTACAGCAGATGTAAGGTGAATCATCATTACACCCGTAAGGCTGTCCAGCGTTAAAAAATCCCTGTCACGCATCAAGTGACAGCACACTTATTCACATGTGTGACGGAGGAAACATAGGGCCAAACAAAGTATAGGTAACATAAAACACAGCAAAGATAGGAGTCATCCAAAATCCATGCAGGCTACAGGAGTGTTATTATGCAAGTAGGAGTGTCTGTTTTATTGACATCATTCGAGTATATTCAGAATGTTCGTTTTTCAGTGCATCATGTCTAAAAGGTTAAACTTTCCACTGTTACTAGAGTGGGATGTATGCAAACCTGAAATGGCATTTTAAAATTGCACCATTTGGGTGAAGGTGTTTTAGACTGGATTCACTCATGTATGCGCCTTTGACTCATAGCAACTTATAGAAATTAAAGACATACTCTAAGTAGTAACATGTAGGTAAATGAAAGCTTTGAAATTTCCTGGCAGCTGCAGGGATTTAAGCCCGTAGGTTGTATTTTAAGGAAGTGTGAATGTTCTACTTCTTTAAAACGGTTTCTACTGACCATTGCAGAAAGATATCACGTTTAAAAATAAAATGCCAGGATATGGCAGAAACAGAATTTTCCACTAGAGATGAGTGCCCCCCCCCCAAAAAGGAAAAAAAAGTGCGTGAAAGAAAAACGGTCATCCGTCTCCTTATTACCAGTTATGAGTCAGAGTCTTGAGATTTCCTGCAACTCGGGATGCACTGGAGTGACTTTTCAACACAAGTTGTTTTTCTTATTTGAGTAATATATATATTTTGTTGCTCTTAATTTTTTTCACCTGAATCTCATTTTAAAAGTGTATTTTCCCCTTAATTTTCCTTTTGCTATGTCACACACAGCAAACCTATATAGATCTCGTGATAAAGCACCCGAGTCAAGAGATGCTGCACTTGACGTGATCCACATTTCCTCCGCATGTTTTTGATCTGTTTGAAAGGGGGATGCCCTATTCCTCCATCTGTTGCGGATAGAGTGTGACATTTCAAAATGATTAACACTTCAAATGTCAAAATAACCAAATATCTACAAACTGCCCAAATTTCAAAGGGCTTTTTTTTCACGACTGATAGTCATGTTCTTGTTTTGGTTTTTTGAGAACACGAGCAAAGCTGCTCAAAAAACAGTGGAAGACGTGATCGTAGCCGTTAAGACAAGCTGAGAAAAAATGAACTTAGAAATATCAGGTGTGAGAAAATGTTTGCGCCCTCCCCTTGAGGATTTATAGGAAATGTATCTTAATTCCAAGTAACTGTGACAATGAATTTTGCAGAAATCTTGTGAGCTTTTGTATCTCCTGCCGCTGAAAACAAACGCACAGACCTGATGTGCAGATGAGCAAAAACATCATTCGTAAGAATGAGAAAATCCCCAGCTTTTCATTTGTGACTTTCACTGACATAAACACTGTGAGGTTGAGAGGAGGGCAGCTCAATGTAAATGAGATGGAGAGAATATTGTGATTTCAAAACACTGATTTCCTGTCTGAAGTGACTCACTATCCTGGGAACAATCTGCAGAGTGTGTAACTGGCACATAACGATTCCAGTCACGGTGACAAGACAAATGGTTATTAAGGAGGCTGCAAAAAAATCCTGCGTTTGCTTTTTTGTTTTTGTAGATTAGGGATTTAAAAAAGATCTGCACCTCTCCCCGGTTGTTTTAGGGATCGGCACGGATCTTCAGAAGTGAACTCGCAATAATTTAAAGCAGAGGTTTAAAATTTAGTTTCTAGATTGTGTAGGCGTATGTGGAACTTGTCCTGAAACTAAACTGGCTGATTAATTTCTTGACAAGCCAATATTAATTTACATTAGAAAAAAAGAGTTTCAGTTAAAATTTTGAATTTAAACAAGCTCAGACAAAATATTCATGTATTTAAAGCGAAGCAGGAGGAAGAAGCGCGCTCTTCAGACCGTTATTAAAGTGCCATCTCATTGTGGGAAGTTCTTTAACTGCATTTAAACTCAAGATACGAATGATAAAGGCTCATAAAAGGCGAGAAGATATAAGGCACTTGTGTGACACATGCAACGAAGAGGCCTTGTGACAATGTGACACTGCTAAAACAACAACAGAACTGCTTTTCTCTGGAAATCAAGTTTGCAATATTATAAAGCAGGTAATTTCTTCACTTGAACACAAGATTTAACTGAAGGATGTGGGAGAAGCAAAATCTGATTTTCGTGTGAAAATGAAACCTATGCATTAGAGGTGAATTCCCCAGCTGTTGTCTCATTCCAGGAAACTGACGTTAAAGCTTGTGTATACATCTGAGTTCCTGTTACACCTCTGAAAATCCCTGAAGGTTTTCTATGTTATTTCAATGTGTTTCTAATGTACGCCTGTTTAAAAAAAATAATAAATAACAACATGACAACACAGATTGCCTATTTATTTTTATTATGAAGGACGTTTGTGCATTACAATAGACTCTGGAAAAAGAAACCTCAAACATGAAACATTGGAATGGATAAACAATGCCCTTTGCTATTTGCGATCAACTCATTTCTTTCCTTTTGTTAACTGACCTCAAAGTTCAAAAGAGCAAAACATTTTGTTCCATGATAAAAAATAGTGGTCTTGCATAAAATGTGCCGACAAGCTGCTTAAACGTGTCAATAAAATGTTATCACTGCATTAACGCCCCGTCATAATGGCACCATAATATCGTCACTTATTGTCAGACATCTATTATACACTCAGTCAACCTCAGTCCAGCGAGATCCAAATATAACAGAACAGAAATAATGCTGATTACGCCTTCTTCTTTTCAACTTCTCCCTGAAAAGTTCAATATGTTCAAATGGTGAAATGATGCGGCCCATATGAGGAAGGAATTGAAATGAAATGAAAGCAAAAACGTTTGCTCACAGTTAAAAAGGAACCACTTTATGCATTTCCTACTACAGAGCCTACCACTCAGAGCACAGCAAACAAGTTTTGTTTTTTTTAAATATGTAATTAACCACAGTCGTATCAGTAAAGGTTTCAAATTCACACAGGATGCAAATTCAGTCACATAACAATAATAATAATAAAAAATTATTCAGTCTGCCGGTACAGAAAGGCAAAAATCAAGGCAAAAGTTTATTCTGTAGCTGGTACCACCACCTTTGATTTTTTTTCTTTCCTGAAATGGAGAGGAGCAATTGCTACAAAGTAACGACGAAATTATACCTGAAATCAAACTGAAGCCACTTTGGAAGAAACGTGAAATAGAAATGCTCACAACAAAATTAAAGAGGCTGACACTGCATCACATTTACAGGACTTAATTTTGGAATGACAAAGGGAGGTGTTTGGTTGGCCTGTAGGTCTTCACAAATCCCTACACTATGCCATCACTTGCTTATAACATCAACGATTTAATGGAAATACTTTCTTGAAATCAAAAGCTTCAGGCCCGCGATGACATTCATGTTATTTTTATCCAGGAAGTGGAGGCTCATTTGCTTCACTTCGGCCTGATATCTAGTGTTTGAGGACTGACGTTGCTGTGTGTCGTGTTTACTGCAGAGGTCCTACGGGCCTGCCGCTCCGATCGATGATCGGTGGGGAAAGCGGCGCGCCGGGCTTACATGACCTCCACGTAATTGGCCGGGAACATTCCAAAATGGCCATCTGGGCCGTAGCCTCGCCACCAGCCCTCGTCTATCATCTCAATCCCGGTAATGATGTCGTCGGGGTCGAAAGAGATCTCTGTGTCATCAGCTAAAAGAAAAGAAGTTTGGGTTTATTTTAAGAAATTTCTCAACACATACTTCAGTCAAACTTCCTAAACACTAAAACCATCAAAGGTGTCACTGAAAGTGCTCTGGCACTAAAATAAAACCCCATGATCTCAGATTTCAGGACTTTTCCTAAAATGGGTTTATTAATCATACAGTGAATTCTAGGGTGTGTGGGTAAAAAGAAAAAACACACCTCTACCTAGAAGCACCAAAAGAGTCATTGTGACCCTGATAGGCATCAGTATGAAATACACACATTTTAACATAAAGGCTGAATTAAAATGAGTCAGAGCCAGTGAGGTGCGCTTGACTTAGATAAAAGATGAATAGCTGAAGGGCTGAATAGGTTGGATATCTGGGATGTTGAGCCAGGGCAGCGTGGATGCTGCAACTTCTATTTTCATTCTCCCTAATCTTTGTTCACGTCCCCCTTTTCTGTCACTCTTTACTGTCTTTTACCCGTTTATTTTTTTTACAAAACATACTGCTACTTTTAGGGTGACTTTTCAGCGTCATTTTCAACTTAACTGAGATACTGAAGCTAACTGGAAACAACAAGCACAGCGAGATAAAGCAATTCTGAACTCTGCATTACTTAGTAGCTACTGTGTGAGAGCTGCTGATGACTGTCATGTGTAGTAGGGATAATTAGGTTTTCCACAAAAAAAAATTTATATACACCCATATTCCTTCTATCAAGAATGTGTCCCATAGATAAATGGCCATGTGTTGGAATTTGGTCAAATATCTAAGAACTTTAACCCGAGACTGACCAGCTTGGTAGTCGTATAAAGCTCTCGCACAGATGCCTCTGTCTGATGTCTCCTCAGCAGTCACTTCATAGGTGTTAGTCTCCTCTGCCTAGGAGAGAACAGAGAAATTGGTTTTAATAGTGGCTGCTTATGTCTATCACTGTCCAGCCAAAGGTAAGTAAACACTCACTTGAGGAGGGTCTTCATAAACTGGCTCTGTGACGCACGAGTTAGCAGTCGGTGCTTCTTCTGGAATAGAGAGAGAACTGTAAGAATGAGTGTGTGGGGGGCCTGGGCTGTCAGCCTTACCAGCAGGTTTCAGGAACAGCCTTTTATCAAGATGCAAGTTTAGTTATTTTATCACAGCAAATCACGACAATGTGTTTATACTGAAGCAGATGGAAGGGTTGGGAAAATGATATAAAGGATAACACTGCCCGTGAAATGAACCCCACCTTGCTGCTCCTGAGGGGCTGCGTCCTGCTCATCATACTCACACCGGGACGGCCCATCATCATCATCATCATCATCATCATCACCACCATCAGGCTCTTATCACCCAAAACACCAGCACAGACATGCATGTGGAAGACATTCACAAGAGCACACAAGCTTAAATTCCACCACCAGGCTCAGACATAAGGGCGTTCTTGGTCTGCTTAACTTAAGGAGTATCAAAACAAGTCTTAAGAAAACAGAATGGAAGCATGACTCATGATGAAATGGCAGATTACAAGAAATGTGAAAGATGAGACACCAGAACAACGAGACACGAAGCGATTCGCTGTTGTTAAGTGTCAGTCTGACACCCAACTTGTTGTTTGTGTGTGTGTGCGCGTGTGTGTGTTTAAAGCTCACACCTGTGGCATGGACAGGAGAGGCAGAGCCTGCAGGTACAGGAGAAGCTTGGCGCTGAGGTGAGCTGGCTCGCTCAGATTCATACACTTGCTTAGACAGAAAGGGGCTTTGAAGACGCCCTGAGCAGAGATGCACATTGAGCCCCCAGAACCCCCCAAAAAACAAAACAAAAATTGAAGAGACAGAAAACAAAGACCAGACAGGTTGAGCAGAGGAAGAGACAGCGTTATGGCGACAGAGTTAAGTATGAACTACGAGACAACTAGACAGTCTGATGGAACATTTCAACTATGGAAAAGGACAGTGATGGGGAAATAATCACTTACAGAATTTATACCTACCACTACCTGAAAAAGATGCTGACATTCAATGATTTACATGACCAAGTCGTTGTTTACAGTGCGAAAATACCTGGCTGAGGGCTTGCAGGAGCAGCAGGAGGTACATCTGAGTCACTGGGAGTTATTCCTCTCTCTCTCTGCTTGAACATTTCTCTGGGGTTCACAGCACGCTGAGAGATGAGAGAAGCAGCCTCCTGAGAGGAAGAAAACCAATAATATGTACAAAAAGCATTAGACCGAGGTCGTCGGTAATGTGGTGGAAAGCGTTTGTCAAACGACACAAAAATAACAAATCAATCTGAAGATTGACGTCATACGAGACAGAAGCTGGAAGAGAGGTGCGTTCCCCTGAGCATCAAAGGGCTTACACTGGATTAGAGATTTTGATTTAGGCAAAAGAAAAGAGTAAATTAGCCAGAAGAAGAGCACTTGGGTGAAGGGGAACTCACATTGGCCTTCTCCACAGATTCACCTCTCTTGACTGCTCTCGTCTGGGCTGCCTGGTTCTCCTCCTGCTCCTCCTGATAATGTTAATATCAATATTGGCACTGCTGACTTTGCTACCTTCCTGACTTGCGTTTAGAAGGTGTAAGCACCACCAAAAAGTACTCAAAAATGAACACGGTTAATTAAATGTAGTCGTGTCAGTGGCCCAGTGAGGCACTCACCCAACGGGGTTTTTCCTGCTCTCTACTCTCAGCTTCCTGCTGCTGCTGGTACTTCCTAATTAATAATGAGAAAACAGAGAAAATGTAATTTGAACCTTTGTTTAAAAAAGAAAAGATAAAAAGAAACAATTGCAAACTGGCCTCATTATTAGACAAGCCTACTTTTGTTGGTCAATTTGAGAGGACCTCTCCTTGTCCCTTTTTTCCCTCATCGCTGCCTCCTTGGCCTCTCTGTCTTTCCTCTCCCTTTCCAGGTGCTTGCGCTCCTCCTCTGCCTTGCGCCGCTCCTCCAGTCGACGCTTCTCCTCTTCTTTCTAAAAGCCAATCACAGCAACAAGGTCAAACGTCACAGTCGTTGAAAAGCTTGATTTTACAATGATTAACAAAAGAAAACTGCTGGGAAATTAGCACCACCAAAAAGTTGTAACTAAGCGGTTACTCATCACAGTTACATTTGTGATGGAAAAGGCTATGTGCCATGTATTTTTTATAGAGTGAAAAATACATGGCACTAAGGAGCTTAACAGAAAAGGCAGGATGTGTAATATGTTAAAATATTTGAGGCATTTCTTGCATTTTCACAGAGATAAGAGACAAGTACATATTGTTTAATGAGTGTACCTCTGCCTGGGCCCAGAAGTTGTCTTTGTTGGTCTTTCTGATTTCTGACATGGCGTTGGTTTTCTGGTAGACTGAGCCCTGTATGACAAGGAAACAAACATCGATATGCCGTCCAGTGTTGGCAGAATTGCCAGACTAAATTAAAATACAAAAAAAGTATTTTATTTCACAGGTTACTTGTGGACAAACTTCATAAACACATCATATATGACACAAAATCTAAAAATCTGCTCAGCTTTTAACCAGTGCTGTGTCATCACTTTGTGATCATTCCCAACACAGAGCGCAGTGGAAAGGGCGAGACTGTACGCTGCTGACACCGGCGGTCAGCAGCACACAGCAGCTGAAATGCAGAATGAGGCCAGGATGTGACAGGATGTGACAGGATGCATGAAGGCCTGGCTCGCCTTTCCTCAATATGAAGCAGCTTTCACATCACATTAACAAGGCTAACTGATAAACCAAAAAAAAAAAAAAAATCTGATACATCAAAGAGCGCTGAAGAAAATCAGAACAGAGGATGACTCATTTTATAATATGTGCACAAGTGACCAAGAACAATGTTGCCTTTGTTTATTTTCTGTGTGAACGTGACTGCATTTCCACACCAGGGTGGCTTGAATACACTCTTCCTTCTGCATTCTCACTTGGCACACACGCACTGTGCAAAAACAGTGAGAGATCTCACACAATCACTGCATGGCACATTTTCAATATAATGCAGATTGAGTTCACCGTGAAAATGCTCATACAGCAATACAAGTGCCAATATTTGGATGTCTGGATCAGCAGCTTCATTTCTGTGACTGTTTATGACTGAATGCAGATGTTTGGGCAGGGAAATGATGCTGAAACATGTGTGCAGAGGTAGACTGTGATTTGTAAAAGGAATAATGACTATTTTTAATATGGATCCAATTAACTCTTATAAATCAGATTGCAGATGACCATTAAACAACAACAACAACAAAAAAAAAAACATTTAAGATGTGTGCATGATCTGAGATAAAGGAGTCTAGTTAAGATCTAGTTCACTGCTTATCTTGTTCTATTGTTGACAGGCAAGTGGAAGTGCATACCACGGGACCCTGCGGACCGCTGTCCTGGAAGCGGCTGGAAGCTTCTTTGTGGAAGCTGTAGTTGGCTCCTGAGGCTTTAGCCACCTTTTGCATAATCGACTCGGGCTCCACATCCTCCTCTGCTCTAGCATTTATTGTGACATGGGCCCCCTGAAACAGCGAAGAAGAACAGTTCCTTTTAAAACACAAAGGAGGACACCCTTCTAGTTTCATCTTGGTTCCGACACACAAACCAGCCACAGCAATGAACTCCTTGCAAGTGTGGCATTAATAACACTGACATCATTCCAGCAAAGCTATTACATTAATGACAATTCTAGGAGCAGGAATGTGTATCCATTTACTGAATGTCATGCGGTAAAGTCAGCATTAAGGTGCATGCAGTTAGGCCTCCTCTGCAAACACAAGCAGACAGCAGTACAAATTCCAATGTGTATTTGAACTAGACTCAAAGGTTTCACACTACCTTCAGAAAATTGGACATGGCACTGACATGATTTGCACATATTCCCTTCCTGGCATCCTTAACTCCCTCTCCAGTCTGAAATGCAACAACATTTAGAGGGTTAGTGACCATAACAGAGACGGCAAACACATGTTTAATAGCTGAGTGTCGCTCTGACCCAGTTGATGAGGACATATTTGGGCAGGCCGGAATTTGGATCCTGGACCCGGCAGAAAGCATACATCACTTTTCCACTGTTGAGTTCTTCAACCAGCTCTTCCAGTCCTCCATCTGATGCATAAACATCGTGGAAAAGTCAAATGGTTATTGTGGTTCATTGTGTAACTGTTGGCATTTTTTCCCCATTGCAAATCATGGGGTGAGAAAGCAGAGGCAAGCAGTCCTTTTGTGCTGATATTCCAGTACCGCTATGCTGACGGTGGCATTCCTGCACACATTTGCTAATATCGTGTCGAGATCATAAAAACTTGATTAAAATATCCACATGGTTACTCACCCCCTTTTTCTGCCAGTCGGATGTCATCGCTGTTTCCCTCATAGGTGAACAAGGCCCTGTATAAAGCACCAGATTACACCTAATTACACCACTGGCTGAAAACAGATCCCACAGACAGAAAAGTGGATACGCATCATTTCACAGTAAACAAGAGTTGTTTTGCAAACCTATTCAAAGTATCACTTAAGCCCCATTTACACACGATACAGGGGAAACAGGTGTAGTGTAAACACTGCTGCAGTTTCTAATCCTCATTTCTAGCAGCCTTTTGAGTAATCTTTACAGGCCGCAGGCCCAAGAAGAAAAGCTCCACTGAAATTTCTTTGCTGTGAAAATCCTAGTAAAAATAAAGACTAGCAGACCTAAACAAACAAGCTTTAGTTAATACATAGCTCCATTTTCTGTGTGTAAATACATTAATAATGGAGGCATTTGAAGAAGCCTTTCATAGAGTCTGGTTTTTCGTGTCGGGGTCAGTCTAAACGAGTTTTTGTGGGTTATTTGTATGCAACAAAATATTTATTTAGGTGATGAATAGCAGGGGAGTTCCACATGAAGTTAACAGAGATTTGGCTGATATGAACTCATAACTGCGTCAGTTTTTAGTAAGTTGTAGGTAGGTGTATGGTGTAATTCAGGGACGTGTTGTGACATTCTTATTTCACTTGGCTTGGAGATCTCCTTCCAGAGACAACCCAGGATGCATTTATGATTTACTACACAGATGAACTGATCTGTTCCTCCACAGAATTCATAAAAAGCAGCCACATGTTATAATGCTAATTATAGCTCAACACAGGCTGCTAATTTAAGCCCAACAATAACGCTTACAAAGTAAAAATCCAGTGTGCTGTGGATTTTAAAGGGCATTTGCTTGTTATCAGGACACAGCACGTAGCAGTTCATATCAGAGGAACTTGCTCACTCCGAAAGATCACTTCTTTATTCTACATTTACTTAATCCTGTTAGCAGCACCATTTAAAAAAAAAAAAAAAAAAAAGCAAATTGCTGAGCTGGTAGGCGGTGGCTGTCGACTGCTTAAAATGAGGGAAGAAAGGCAAACATTGGTTTGATGAGAGACATTTTCAGAGTCCACACAGAGCCAGTAGTCCTCTCTCTGAACACGTCCTCTCGGGGATTATCTAATTCGGGTCATCATTAAGCACGGCGGCTGAACTTCAACAGGTTTAAATTTCAAACCACAAACACTTTCTGTAACGTTGGGTAAAACAAAGAGGAAGTTCTAGTATCACTTACTGGTTATAAATTACTTCTGATATGTTACCAGGAAGTGGGCAAGGACGCTAGCGACTTACCTCACGCCCTTTCATGATTTCATTTAATTTGAGCTAAAAATACAGTCAGAGCATCTTAGTTGGCTCAGTATAGCCGTCAACTGACAACACTGTAACTAGCTATCTCGTTAGCACATCTTTAAGGTTATTAATCCACAGATCACCAATAAATGTCAGAAACTAAACTCCTACATTATACAAAGATGACTCTTAATAAACGTTATCGGTTATATAAAAACTACAAACTCTAATGTGGTTCCCAAACTACCATTATTTCTAGGTAACTGGCTAAGTTTATTTTACGATAGGTTAAGTTACTTGTCGACTCGCTCAAAGCTAGCCAACAATGTAGCTAACAACCTCCCTCGTACAAACAGCTAATACTGCTATGAAAATGTTTCTCCTTACCAGTTGGTATTGGATTTTTCATCTACCACTTCTTTATATGCAGCTGTTAATGCAGGGCCATTTTTGCTGAGGTTAACTGCCATCGTTATTCTGAGTACAGCTAGCCAGCTAGCTACCGGGATGCGCCCTTCCTATTGGGAGGAGTGGCAATGATGCTGCTGACTTTCAGCCGGAGGAGGGGGGGCTAGTTTAGCCTAGAGGCTAGATGTCAGCCATGGTAATGATAACAGTGTTGTGTGCGTTGTTTCTAATAATTTACCGGGTCGACTATAATTAGTTGCAGCGATGTTTCCGAAAAATCATGATGCAAATATCAAAGGTTTAGTGAGATCAGACGAAACTGACCTTTACGCAATCACTGCTGTCTGCACCGCAAAAATCTCCCATAATGTTACGTATCAAACGTCCACAGGACCAGTAAAGGCCTCACCTTTTACTGGGAACTCATTGAAATAAATTAGAAATTCAAAATTTTAACCCTACAGTTATTAGAGCATATTACATGATTTTTTTTTTTTAACTTGTGTAACTTTAAAACAAACAAACCAACAAAAAAAAAAATGGTGCAAAATATATGGTTTCTCTCCCGTTTAAGATATACATTTCCCCCAAAAGTGTCTATATAGGAAGTATAGGAAACAACTATAGGGATCAAATGTAAAGGAAAATTATGAACATTTGTCTTGATTCACACTGGGAATTTTGATAAATATATCACACAGGCATCTGCTTCTCAATACCTGGCAAAGCTGCTGTAATATGGTGATAATGTGCTTAAAGTTAATTCACTGAACTGTGCATGTGCCCACACCCTAAACTAGGTTGTGATACTCTATGGCAGGGTTACTTGATGTTCTGGCATCCACAAAAGAGCCGAGTAGACAGCTCCAAAAGAAAAGTAAGACACATTTTAGTCAATATCCAACCACAGTGGAAGGAATCGTAACAGTGAATAAATTTTAGCAGTAATAGGACTCACAGTAAAAATAAACACCAGTGTATGTAATTTAGGTATAATAAAACCCGCTTTAAGGCCCTAAAACAAACCAGATCACACATTTCTCTATTTCTACCCTGAAAATGTCTTCATAGCAACATTTAAAGGACTGAGACATGAATCACTGCTGTGACTATAGTACATATTTCTCTCTCTCTCTCCAGAGATGAACCTAAACTTTTATTATAAAATAAAGGAACCATTTACCATTTGTCTTTAAGAAGTATTTTTTTTAAAAAATGTCTGCAAAATGTTAATTGAATGTCTTTTAATGTCAAGTCAATGCCAACTCAAAAAAAAAAAAATCATAAATACCCAATTTAAAATCCCCCGTGATGAGGAACAAATGCAAACAGGTGCTGCAGTGGTTGCCAAAAGCATTGTAAATGAGTCAGAGAGCACTCTGCTGGACAAGCTGTGAGGTGACACCATTTCTAAATGACCCCAAACATATTTTTTCTGATTATGTTGGGTACAGAAACATTGTGTGATACGCTGAGAAATCAGTCAGGCTCTCCATGAAATGACTGCAAACAACAAGAAATCAAGATGAACTTTATTCATGTTATAACAAGGTCATAATTATCTTGTGTAGGTTACGCGAAGACGTGACTGTTCATGATAGCAGTTCAAGCACACATATATTCCAGATTTTAAGATGCGTGAAGGCTGGTCCTGCATTCAGTAAAAGCTAAGCTGATTTTTTTTTCTTTAAACAAAACATTGTGAACTCTTTATGCAGGCTTCCAGTTCTACTGATATAATGAATCACCCATTTTGGGAATACAGCCCTGATAGCAAATTTACAGTTTATATGACACATTCTCTCTCTCTCCATATATATATATACACAAAAATGAGGGTTAAGGAGGGTTAAGGCTAAACTTTTAGTCAGAGGTGTTAGGCAGATGAAATTCAACGAAATCCCTGATATTCTGCAAAATGGCTGAGAAGGATCACCAGAGTGCAAAGCATGCCAAGCTGCCTATATGAAACCGTAATGAACACGTGGGTTAAAGGAAGTCAATGTAGCATTACTCATATTATGAACTGAGGCTCTTGCTGAATAGTTGGAAGATACCCAGCTTTCTAATAAATAAATAGCTAGATGAATAAACACCAATGCACACAAAGACTGGACTTGTAGTATTACAGCGGAGGTGTCGGAGCATTCGGTGGGTACATTTTCAAAACATTTTAGTATATACGGTATACTTTTAGGACAACTTGTTTTGACATGTTTTTATTTTTACAGTAGAATATTAAAAATCTATAGTCAGCATCTAAACAATGGTGTTAATTCTACAATCAAAGCTTCTTAAATAATCATGCTTAGCTATTTACCTTTCTGTATGAATCTATTAAATAATAGCTCAATAGCAGAAATTTCTTGCTCCTAATATCCAATAATTCCCTTTATACTGGCAGCGTCGACGCACTGAATTGTGATTTTTGACAACTTTTCCAACTACTTTGTCCAACAGTTACAATGGATTATCTTACTATTACATTATGACACATCAAAATCGTGCTCAATATTCATGACACAAATGAGAAAAAAAAATCTAAACAAAACAAAAAAACCCCACACTTTCAAAGATACAATTTAAAAAGAAGAAGAAAAAAAAAGCCAAACATTATACCCTAAAAAAAAAAAAAAAGAAAAAAAAAAGGAAAAAGTTTACTGTCAGTGTTGCTTATTAATGGAGGAGGGAAAAAAAAAAAAAAAAAAAAGGAAAAAGTTTACTGTCAGTGTTGCTTATTAATGGAGGAGGAAAAAAAAAAAAAAAAAAAAAGGAAAAAGTTTACTGTCAGTGTTGCTTATTAATGGAGGAAAAAAAAAAAAAAAAAGGCAGAACAATGATGAAAATGAACATAAATCCTGATATTTAAAGCATACCAAACTGTAATGTTATGACTGTAAGTGACAGAGAGCTGCAAAACATCAAGTCTGTTCAAAAACAGCATCATTTGCAAGCTGTTCACAACCACACAACCAGTCGCTTTAAAAACACTGAAATAAGTGGAGAGAAATAATGAGAGTAACAGTATGTTTCGGACAGCATATATTTCTGTGCAGCACAGACCCATTGTGGTATGTCTTTGATCACACTGCAGTAAGTTGCAGTCAGTGATGGGTCGTTATTTGAACAGAACCGCAAAATTAGGCAAGTGCTATTTTTAGAAGTCGGACTGTGTTAACCCTGATCATTTTTCTCACCATGGGTCACCGCATGTAAAAGGCTGATGATCTTCTTAAAGATACCTGAGTAACTGTACTGAGGAAGTGGCGCACAGCTATGACTGCACGACAAAGAGTAGCCACATTCATAGCTACACAGCATAACATGTTAAACAGCAGTAGTTTTTGAGCACTATGGACACCAGCCGTCATTTATTATTCAAGACAGAAGAACGATGGCATGTGTGAGAAAGATGGAGGTGGACGTTAACCTACCCGCTAACTTATAAACAGCAGCTCCCCAGTGTTTTCAAAACAACTCAATACTGTTACAACTCCAATTGCAGCGGATGATGGAGACAAATCCTTCTTAACACCTTTCACATTGTTTCAGGGCAGAGACAGTTACGTGCCAACAGATCAGCTGCTGGTAATGGCACTGCACACTTTTGTGTTCAACAGGAAACATTCTGTCTAAATTGCACATCAACGTAACACAGAAAGGCCACCAGAAAACATGAAATACAGTAACAAGACATCCAGTGGGGTGCAGATAGTACCTCTGAAATGAAGGGAGAAATAATCTCCTAAATCAAACATTTTGTTTCTGAGTAGCACGACGATATGACTCAATGATGGTAAAAATGATGCTTATAGAAAGCAACAATTATAATGATCATCACAATAGCAAGAGTAACAGTTTAAAGTCTGAGTACGGTGGTAGGGATTGTAAAGAGTTTTCTGGTATTCCATGTGGGAGTGCTTTAAGGAGTCCATTAGGTCCTGCTCAGCAGATCCATACAAGTCATGAAGCAGAGCACACTGTATCAGCTCAACACACACAAAGCCAAGTGGCACTGTACCTCATAGTACCGCTTCCTTCTCCAAAAAGTGGGCTGTTGTTTAGTTTACCCCCCTCCCCCAAAGTCCCCCAACTACTTTGATGCTCATTTACTTCAAGTTACAAATCATCTGTGTTTCTTTTGTTCTTGTAGTTCTGATCTCGTTCTGATCTCCTTGGTGTTCTCACATTGCATACTTCTGTGTCCATTCTCTTGCTAGTTTGTTGTACCTGTAAAACACATGCAATGTGAAAAGTTTAACTTAACCTCAAACTCAGAAGTTAATCTTGCAGCATGAGTGTACCTGGCTGTGAGCTCAACTGTGGCAAAAGCAGTCATGTTTTACACTTACTTTTCCCTGTCAGCCTTGTACGTGTGGGCGATCTCTGGTACCAGCGGATCATCTGGGTTTGGATCGCACAGAAGAGAGCAGATGGACAATAATACTGTGGAAGAAAGAATCAAAGTTAAAAATCTTTGAGAGGGGATTTATTATAGACATAACTGTGTTCTACTCCTACCATCAGCACAGCAAGATGTCATTTTAACTTCTTAAATAATCAAAATCACATCTAGAAGCACTCCAATCATTTCATATGTGCCATTACAAATAAGTTCAATAATAATTTGTTAATCAATCACTACATCGACGCACTAGCCCAAAATTAGCAGATGAATTGGACCCATCTACAGTACAATCCAAAGAAACGGAAGGTATAATTTTACGTAGAGTGTAATTTTATGTTATGGCTTTGGCATCATTTCAATTCTCTCAACAAGCAGGCAACAATCTGTTTATCATAAATCTGTTGGCTAAATCTTTTTTTCCCCAAACACTTTTTGGCTCATGTACTGGGTATATGTACACCCACACCACACATTTTAATTTATTTTTTTACCTTTCGAAACTGTAAGTGCAGGTGACCACTGTGACCTCAGAATGTCCAGACAAATACTTCCATTGCTGTTGATATTTGGGTGGTAAATTTTTGTTGTGAATGCAACCTGTTCCAAAACATAGAAAAAAAATGATGTAAGGCCAATTATATGACAGAATAAATTTAAAAAATAAGAAGCATTGTGCCTCACTGTTTTACTCACTTTTGGTGGTTTAAAGGGGTAATCCGTTGGGAAGTGAATGGTGAGGAAGAACACTCCACTCTGATATGGACTGTCACTCTGTTTAAATAGGAAGAGAAATAAAGTAAGGGGTCATGATTTTCATTTATAAGCGCACTTTAACTGTATTGGGTGTGATAAGTGTTTCACTTACTGGACCCATTATTGTTGCCTGCCAATGAAACACTGAGAGGAGGAAAAACAAAATTATGTAAATCACACATAAATCTTCAAAGATTACTCAACAACTGTTAAACTACTTACAATCCTCTCCAACTGGTCCAGCAGAGCACTGGGCAGGAGGATCCCTCTGCAGGTCCGACAGTTCCTAAAAGTCAGGGTAATTACAAAGTGAATCAGAACGTTTGAAGTTCAAAGAAAACACAAATTAACTCTTGATGTGATGCTATCACAATCCATGTACCAGCATACTGGCACCATCAACAGTTCTTGATAGACTACACAACAGTCTACAAAACACTGCAGTCTCTGTGTACATAAATAAGAGATGAATTCAATCGTTAAGCATAACCTGGAGGTCTTATGAGCCACTAACGCTGGTAAGTGAAACTGGTGTGGGAACGCTTTTAGAGTGCCTGCACTCTAAAAGGAACAATATTATAACACAAGATGCTGCACTGCAATATAATGTCATAAATATTTTGTCCCACCCATATGTTCCATCTGACAGGCTGTTTTATATAGAAATAACACATCTGTAGCAGGAGAAAATAGGCCAAAACTGAAGCCTCATCAGTAGTTTGATGAACTACATACCCACGGATTAAAAACATTTATTTTAAATTAAAATCTAATTCTCCTCCCCCCCAAGAGGCATGCTGTGATATGTAATTAACTCAAATCAAAGCTTGGTTGAACACAGAAAGATATTCAGCAGATATTCAAACAGAAATAAGGCCCGTTATTAAACATCTCTTGAATGAAAGCCTATCTATTCTGTTATATAAATATACACAGTGCCCTGCTCCAGTGCCCCATTTGCCATTCCATATATGGCAACACTGACACTAGGGTTCAATTTTGGCAACCAACAAGCAGCTGTCATTCAGCAACATCATCAGCGACAGTTACTGATACAACGATAAAGACAACTGTCCGCCCACTGATTTATCAACAGGTCATCTACATACCCAACAATAATAAAAACAAAGAGCACACACTCAATAATGTCAAAGCCGAGCTTTACGTTGCACTGTGAAACACAACTAGAAACACTAACAAGAGTGCTTAGTAACCTTTCAGGAGAAAAAGGCATAATTTCACACAAAGAAACATTTAAAATAAACAGCGTGTTTGTTAACTGCGACCGTTACTGTAGCAGTGCACCAATGGGGCCACCGGTGGGTTAGCCATTCTTTGTCTATAAATTATTTTAAACAGGAGCAGAAAAATCAAGCTAGCACTGCTAATTCGACCCAAAGAAAAGTTTAGACACAGGCAACATCGTTACAGAGGGGACTCAAGCTTAAAAAATGTATATATTGAAGATATGGCTAGCACTTGTAAGCAAATATACACTCACCTTCTGAATTCTTTTCAACGCCATTGCTTCAATGGCTATGCTAGGTAGCCTGTCAGCTAACAGTTAGCACTTCACACATAAAATTTGGCTTCTGAGGCCGCGTACTTTCAAATCTCAGTGTGCGTATAAACGACAAATGCCGTCTAAGTCTGAACGTTTGGTTTCTAGTATAAGCAATGTGACCAACAATGAGTTATATGTTGATCTTTCTTAGGAACAACTGAGCTATTTTGCTGCTGTCTCCTTCTCATTACTGCTCTTCTTTGGGTGCCTGGCAGCCAGTTTAAATATCGCGAGACTTTACTTAAAATTCACGAATTGACCGACCTACAACTTCCATTGTTGTAGTTCAAACTGTAATTTAACCAGTTTCGAGTCACGATAAAAGTAAAAAATCTGTATAAATAAAAAAGAAAACTAGAGAAAGAAATCTGATTTCGATTTGTTTAAAAACAAAAACTATTAAATTAACGTATTTACTTTTTTGTTTTAAAAATGTATTCATATTTTAATGATTTCATGATTTTTGCTTGCTTGTTTGTTTTAAAAGCGCCCAGACAAAATGAAGCGTGATCCCTCAATGCGCATCCTTCAAGTTTAAATAGACAGACAGTGGCAAGCGACATGTCTTCAAGCATTATTACACACAAAGGCTTCAACAATAATTGAGCAGAGGTGTCCACAAGATGTCACTGTTTGAAAACAGCTAATGCACAAGGAAACCACATGGTCAGAATAGATTATGCTGTTCAACTTTTACTTTAAATAGTTTTTCGGGGTTTAAAGCACAATTTTTCTAACCAAACACTGCACTTCCCAGAATCAAAGGATTGTATTTTACAATGTTGTTTCAAATTATTTATTTCAAGTGCATAACAATCGATGAGTAAAGTACAATGAGGTCAAACACGTCTATTATTTACACGCACATAAAGAATAGAGAAAAAGACTAAAGAATTGTTCATTCAATACCCAATCACTGTAAAGTCATATTCATTTGAGTCAGCTGCATGCTCCAGTTTCTGCATGGCCTTGTCTTGCAAAGCCTCATGAGCTTCTCTTTATATGTCTTAAACAAGAGTGAAAAAAGAGCTCTCATTATTTTAGTGAGTATGCATGAATGGCTCGCAGTGTTCATTCTTCTTAAATGGCTGATTCAGTGTCAGGTTGAGGATCCTATCGTCAATGTGACACTGAGAGGGACCATTTTCCTTTGGAAAACTGAAGATTCCTTCAGATAATATCTTATTGTTTGCTCATCTCTGTGCTCTCAATGACCTGCCTGTCCTCGGGGCTTGCCTGTAATCAGATTCAGCAAGCAGCAGAGGTAGCTGAAGTTTTGAGTCTTGTGCAGCAGGGGCCTGAGTTTGTCTTCTTGGAGAGGCTGTTTATCAGCATGAGGTTTTCAGACAAAGCCAAGCCTACACTGTTGGCTTAAGGCCTCAGTGCACAGAGCTCGCCTTGCTGTACAGTTTCCTGTGAAATCTCAAATCACAATGATTTGTTTGCTACTGTGTCCTTCAAATCTATAGGGATTTTGTAGTTGACATAGGGATAAGTGCAATTAAAGGGGGTGGAGGGGATGCTTAGGGGATGAAGGCAATAAGTAAAATGTCTCTGTTTCAATAAGGTAACAGATCATTGACCTGTATGGGGAATTTCCCACCTATACCCAGAGGTTGAGTTTTTAGTTACATGACCGGTGCCCCAAGTTCCAGTGATGTATGACTCAAAGTGTGAATGTGTCAGAACTGGGATGATATGGGTGGGGGTAGGAGCTTAGCTGACCTGTCTCATGTGGGATATAGCCTATAGTGCTGTTATTTGAAACCACGGGCTCAGCAGACTCCAGTGATCTGTCTTTTTGGTCACATGAATCATCATTAGTTGAAGTTCAATTATATAACAGAAAGCATTCCACTTATTTTAGCAATCATGCAAAAGCTGCGTCTGTGCCCATGCTCCTTTCAATGGCCCTTTTCCCATGGCTGCTGTGACAAAGCACATATATTGCATGTCATTTTCAAAATTAACTTAAATGGGTCTTACTAATGTCTAAATTATCCAATAAAAGCGCAACCAATTAATGCTGAGCACAAGCTTTGCTCACAATCCCCAGAGGTGTTCTACCTTCAGGTCAGCCTGTTAGCTTTCTGAGGGCTCTCTTATGGAACAAAGATCTATTGTTCATGCATACTAAGAGATATTTGTTCGCCCCTTGTATCAATGGTCTAGATTTGATTATATACTCAGGCAATATGTGCAAGTAGTACTCATGTTTGCAGTGAAGTCAGCACTCTGCACAATCAAATAATTCTTGAGCTAAGAAACTGGAAAAAGGGTCATTATGTATGAAGCAATCACTGTTTCATGGTTCATTTCCTCAGCTGTGATTTGATTTTGCTTGTCAGTGTTAAGTTGGCCTTTGACCTAGAAAAATCTCCAAATTGCTCCTCAAATCTTCCTTTTTTTTTTTTTTTTGCTTCTGTGGGTATCTGTGAATTTTACAGCTCGCATCAATAAGTAAACAGGCATGATAAGAGCTTTCCCTTTTGTGCTCCCTTGGACATAAAAACAAGCTGGTACATGACTGTGTGCTCCTTTGGCTCGCAGAGTTTACATGATGCAATGATGTAAACTTTTATAGCTTCGAGGATGTTATTATTAAATGACATTAAATGCTATAATTGCGGACATAGAGAGCTCTGCAGGTTTCATTTGTGGAATTTCACTTTTACAAGCAGCAGGGGGCCTAGAAGAAAAACGTTACAACATTTTAGTGTTTTTGAGAGGCCGTGCAGTGTTTACAGTCACAGGGCAACTAATGACCTGTTTTCTGAATCACAGTCTTTTGTACAATTTGTTCTATATATTATTTCCAGCAAATCTAAAAAAAAAAAAGCCCCCCGAATAACAATTGAAGAGTAGAAACACTGTTGTTTAAGAAACAAACACTGTATTAGATTTAAAGCTTTAACACATGTTTCGCAAGTATGGGAGGTTCAGTAATATTGATATTAAAACAATGTTGCTATTAAAACAGCCATATTTGCCTTTTAAGAGGCTCTGCACAATCCTTATTTGTGGATTCATATTCTTAATGGCTTTATTTCAATTGATCTCTGATTATCATGATTTAATGTCTCTCCGGAGACAGCAGATCCAGGCCTCCTGCGCCTATCCCGTCTGATCCACCCTTATCAGATGAGCATCATGTGGAGCACAGACCCAAACCACACATGTAGTCATAAAGAACCAGTAATCCATCGGGGTTTAGCACTTACAGAAGAATCCCCAGAGGCCTCTGTGACTCTGCGTTGCGCCACACTTGTGGAAAGGTGATTGACAGCTCTGGAAACCGTTTTACTGTGCTGCTCTTGAAATGACTAGTCTCCTGAGTCTTGGTAATAACTAATCTTTAGTGTTGACTATTGCATTCAGTGGTGACTCTCCCTAATCAAATGCGTTCCAGCTGTTTGAGTTCTGATGACAAATTCAGGTTTTCCCAGTTTGTTGAGCTTCCTTGAGAGACAAAGGAGGGATTTCCTCTGAAACAGACAGGCAGTGGCAGCACCAACAAATGGCCTGGTACTGTTATCAAATAGAAAGTCTCACTAAATATAAACTTATCATCTGTAGTCCAAACCAGTACAGAATAAAACAAAAAGCAGCTGAAACACGTTTTTTGTAGGCTGCACACAGGGACACAGATTGCATATTTGTGTAACAACTGAATGATAAAAGAAGAAAAGAGTATATATGGAGTTGCAACACATGCTAATATTTTGTGACTTAGGTGAAAGGGACGTGTTCTTATCTCTGGGCTTTTGTCACTGCCAAGCACACACACACACACACACACACACACACACACACACACACACCCCTTTCCTCGGAAGATACAGGACGTTTGAGCATTGCTGCTGGTGCGTACATCGGCCTTTAAAGCAGCCACCTGTTGTTTGACAGGATTTTACTGTGCAGAGGTGCGTAGTGAGTGCCGCTGATTGTGTGTGAAAGTAAGTGACTGGGACATGGGGGGCTGTCCATCCTGCTGCACAATAAACAGTTTGTTTCCCAGGAGCACCCCTCATGTTCCTGTTGTTGGCTCCATCGGCGCTCACTGGGAAACGTCCCGGCCTCTATTGTCTGCAAGGTCAGAGGTCACAGGATGCTCCTAAAGGCCCCAAAAGGGAGGTAAGAGGTTGGATAGTGAGGCGCCAGCACAAACGCACACACACACACACACACACACACGCACACACACTTCTTAAAACAAAAAAAAATGTCAAAATCGCCTCTCTTTTGCCTCCCTCCCCTCTCTTGTCAATTCTGAGTCATTATCAAGAGTTTCAGGAAATGAAATCAGGACAATGCTCCAACTCACTATTTCATATTGAACATCCTGATTAGTTTGAGCGCAGCGCTCTCTGTTTTCTGTTTCTCATGTGCATTCTTCGCATATCTTCAATGGACAGTCAACACACCTTCTCGTGCAAAACCTGGAAATCGAATCTTAGCAGCGAACGCAGGATAGTCGCATCAAGGAAGAAAAAGAGTCCAGAAAGGGATTGTTGTACTGTTTTCATTCCTTTACATACGTTAACCTCAGATGGATCTTAAACAATGGCTGTGACATGGGGCAGATGCGTGCCCCCTGATTGCATTAACCTTTTAAGCAGAACTTCATGTCAGATGCAGGTTTTTTTGCTGCTCAATTAAACACGTCAGCTCAGAAAAGGAGACAGTTTTTGACAATACGATGCCCGTGAGGAAACATCTTATACGTCTCTTGACACTCTGTACTGAGCGATAGCGGAGGCTGAGGTTTGTGTCCGTTTGAGTTCCTCCATTTATGCAGCGGCGTTGCTGTAATGTCGTCTGTGAAGTTTAGTTTTAAAATGTTTTGAGCAGTAGTCTTTTATTGCACATTAACCAAAGAATTTCTGGGGCCTGTCCTGTGCCTCAGTGCACTGGTGGAGTCGATTGATTAGACATGCTATTCTCTGGACATTTATCTTCTTTATGAAGCTGAGCAAACCAGAATTTTGAGCTTTATTCCAGATGATTGTTGCAAAGCTTTTTTTTTCTTTTAAATTTGTTGTACTGTATTTATTACTTTTTCCTATTTGTGTTATTTCAGTCTCTGACATACTGACACCGTGACGTGCTGTAATGTTTGGATGGTAGGGCCAGAATTTTGCACAAAGAAAACGAAAGCGTGGATCCATCCTGCCTTGTATCAACGGTTCAGACTGCTGCTGGTGTAATCGTGCAAG